TTTCACCTGCGCCTCTCTCTCGCCTACCACCCTCTTTCGCGCCCCTTCGACCGCCCTCTTCACTCTCGCTTGTCCTTCCTCCCTCGCTCCCCCTTCCCTTTCCCTTTCATCCGGAGTTTCCCTCCATTTTCCCTCTTCTCACTTCTCTTACCCTCCTCCTTCGCCCACGCTGCGCCGGGTTGTGTGTTTACGATTACGATTACTCGCGCTCTCACTTTCGCCGCTTTCCCTTCGCGGTCTCGCTTTCGATCTCGCCCCCGTCCTATCGACCTCCAAACCTTGTCGCTACTTTCGGTCTACCTAAACCCCGTACAACACGATGCACGAAACATAGCAACGCTTAAAGACGAGGGTCTCCTTTCGATAAGCAACGATGCACGACTGCGGAAAAAAAAGCAACTGGGCGTTATTTGCAGCGCTATTCAATTTTCTCGAGGGGGATATCATTCGTCGTTGCGTAATATCGAGAAACAGTAGATACCTCGACGGCCAGCTCTTTCTCTCACAAAGACAAAGGGGATGTTCGATCTCTGTCGTCACAGCTAAAGACGAAGGCCGGGGTGTATGATTTACTGGAGGAGAAATTTCAAGAACAGTCCCAGCTTTCGCCCTCAACGATGAATAATTCACTTCCTCGACGCTCAAACTTTACTTCAGTATGAAAAATGCAGCACTATCGCGTGACCAATATTTTAATGCGTGACCAATATTTAATTTGGATTTCGTTTATCTTAATAGATTTTGGGAAACATCTAATATATACGTATTTCTTAATTTAACCCTTCCTAATTACATTTGAATTGGCAAAGAGGAGGCGACGGAAAGGTGTGTGCTTTCTTAACGACAATCGTCAATGTAAATAATTCAGTAGGCGGTTGAAAAGGGCGGCTCAACATTCACACAGATATCTTTATGGGCAATCGATGCCGCGGGAAGTTCGATAGAAAATACGAGCCGGGCATGTATATCAAATTATACCATTTTCTAGGACTACGTGATAATTGGCCTTTATCCTGCTACCATATCTTGATTTATGCGTCAAGTTCATAGATGATAGGATCGCGGTAGTGGAGGCAAGGGTAGCAATATGGCGTACAAAAACGCAACGACACGGGCAAAAACCCACAGAACGAGTTGTGGAAAAGTTAAAAAGGGTAAAAGGGCGAACGTTCCATCGAGGAGAAGCAAACGTATGTGAGAGGAATGAGATTAGCTCGCACGAGTAAATTTAGTCGCTAATAAACTTTCGACCTTTCACGGATAACGCCCGTATCGATTCATTGGCGCGAAACGAGACGAAAAAAAACGATGTCCATCTGTCTTGTTTCTTATAAATTATAAGAGATTCAATCTCTCGCAAAAATACGGAATAGGTAACGTTTCGCATTTCATATTGTGAAGTAAAGTCCGGTCTGCAATGTGCTCTTTGTTTCCTATTTCTTGTTTTTTACCTCTGTTTTTCTCTCGCGTTTCATTGACAATCGTGTTTCATGTCATATATTTCACGTATTTCTTATCTCTGTCGAAGTTGGTCAACGAGATTTCGATTATCGATTTTATCTCGGGCGACGGAAAACAAAAAACAAAATAAGAGACGAAAAGGCAAGAGGTAAAAAGCAAAAAAACAATCCAGACAACAAACATGTCTAAAAGACACCATAAAGACATCATAAAGACGTCTTTTGAAATATACATGTCTGAAGATATATAAAAGACTTCGTATAAAGACCTTCTTCTAGACATTGCGTGTTGTCTGGGAGAAAGCAAAGAGCACATTGTAGATCAGATTTAACCGAGTTGTACAGATAGCGCGATCGAAAGTGCATCACACTTTCGAATTTTTTCGTTATTTTGTCGATCAATTTCTTACGCGGATTCCTCGAATTAATAGCGTTCGTGAATGCAGATTCGCCTGCGTGCATGCCTCGTAAATCGTATGCGGCGCAAAGTACACGGCGAAGGTCGGAGTCAGTGGCAGAAGGGTGGCAGCCCAAAACGCGTGAAGAGAGGGGTTGCGGGGGGACGAGGAGGGGCAAGATGCAACGCACATCTATTGATTCTCCTCCAGCGTGAAGGCCCGCGTGTTGCGGCGGGGTTCTGCTCATTCGCTCCTTCTCTTCCTCTCTGTCCTTTTTTCTCTCGTTACTGACGCACGCAATTTCGCGTGCGCGCACGCACGCACGCACGCACGCACGCATACGCGTACGCACGAGGGAGAACGAGTGCGCTCGGTAGATGCAGGGCACAAAGCAGCAAAGAGTCTCGTCCTGCGCCGTCGGCGGCGAGGAGAAACAGAGAAAGGGAGAAAGAGAGAGAGAGAGAGAGAGAGAGAGAGAGAGAGAGAAAGCGAAAAAGGGAAACTGGATCCTGCGAGAGAAGACAGCGGCTCCCTTCTTCCGTGCGCGCGCGCCGCACTCTCGGCCGCGTTTTCTCGCTCGCTGACGCATAAGAATTAGAATGCCAGGAACCCGACGGCATTTGCATTGCAACTCGTGCCCGCTCAGCCTTTGCACTTGCAACTTTCTTGGAGATCCTCACCCGGGGTGGGTAACGATCGTCTTTGCGAACAACGGGTACAGTCTCCGCCAGAACAAAGTTGCGAAGGGCGGACGGGAGAGATCATCGAAAGAAGAGCACGCGTTCGGACAATTGATCGATAGGAAAAAAATACGCGGTGCACGCGAATGCGTCGCGTCATACGTTTGTCACTTCCGTTACATCACCGATATTTTTCTATATGATAGTATAATTAATAATGATAATCTCACGTTTACTACTTTAAGCCTGGCGGCGCACAACGCGGTTTTTCCTGCTGGATTGCTTGCATTTAGTAAATTACTAGAATTGTATTACACAGAGCACAAAATTTCTAATAATTTATTAAAACGCAAACAATCCAGCAAGAAAACACGCATCGTGTGCCAGAGGCTTTAATTTCTTCACGAGAGAGGAGCATGTTAATTTTTTTCGCAAAACACGTTGTTTTTGATATAATTAGCAAATGTTAACGGGAATTTTATTATCATTTCTCATCAATTAAGAGTATCTTTTCTCATTTCATATTAAAAGAAACATTACGATCCCTAATTACACGACTGACCAAAGTCTAAATTGATCGTTGGTCCGATTGCTCGTGTGAATTTTGAATATGCATCGACGCGCCGCTCGTTGCGCAGCATCGAACGAACGACGATACTGTCTTTATTTACATAAATAGAAACGTAAAGGTCAGAACGCACACGAAGTGCGGTGGTTGCTTTCGGAACCGTTACCGGGATGCAAAGCACGGGCTCACGGAAATCATCGAATGACCCAGCGTGCAGATACACAAACACATGCCGGCTCGAGTTTATGCCGATGCCCGTGTTACCAAACAAGGAACGAGATGCGAGATGTATGATTCGCGGAGCTCATTAAACGGTTATCATTGATCGAGGCATTATGTGCCGTATTTGAAAACCAACAAAAAAAAACGGTTTTCTTAAAATATTAAAAAATTTAACTTCGTACAGATTTGAAAATAATTTTGTTGGACTATCAAAATTATGTAGTTCAAGTTGATTATTGGCATTTTTTGCAACTCTGCTTGAATTTCCTACATAATTATTTTGATAGACCAACAAAATTATTTCAGATCTGTATTTAAATGTTAGATCCTTCAGCAAAATCGTTCTTTTCGAACAATTTCCAAACTCAGCTCAACAATATTCGCATAAAAATCTTGAATCTTTAAAACGATCCTTAGTGTAGAGTATCAATTATTTGCAAAAAGATACGAAGAAACCTTTGTTTCAAAATGCGGACAATTTAATTAATTAATAAAATTTCTTGCAAATATATATAAAGCAAAAAACTTAATATTTACAAAACGTTCGAACTCCATGTGTGTGACAATTACTATTGTTTAAGTATTAAAATTATATTGTAAGATTAATCGCGTTCTATTTATTGCGTTAATATTATTGCAAAAGCGCAAACGAGGAAAAAATTGTCTGTCGATCGTTATTACCGCTCTCGCGATTATTATTATTCTCAACGCAGCAGCATCGTGTTTATCGACTTTCGGGACATGCATGAAATTTCATGGGAAAGAATGCGATATCAACACCGCGGAGCAACTTAAGCTATGTTCCGTGGCATAGCGAAGGAAAAAAAAAGAGAGGCTTTCTCTGGGACGAAGCGAGAAGTTTATTTCGACATCGTGAAAAGTCGCAAAAACTGGAGCAACCGCCTGTCGCGAGTAGAGAATGCCGCGTTAAATTGAATTAGAAATGAAATCCGTGCACAAGTCGCTCGAAAACTTATCACGTTTCGGGGAATATATTCGTCTGAAAGATACATGTAAGGTGCTCCTGTTTGTCGCGTGACTTGACGTTCGAGTATTCAAAAAACAGATGTTATTCAAATCGCGTTATGCGTTTAAATATCAAAATAAACTCGGTATATAAATAATCTGAATCATCGACGAGAAATATATTAGACAAGAGAATAATAAAAGGCTCTAGAGAATATAAATTACAAAAGTATAATCAGAACCAACACGAGATGTTTGTGTGCGAATTCAAATTCTTTATTAAATAACAAATTAAGACGTTTCGACTCTTCGCTTTTCGATCATCAATTATTGTATCTCAATATGACTTACTCTATTTTAATGTATGCGATATTCTCTTTAATCTTTATATTATAATTACGGTCATATTTTCGTTTTTTTAATTAACTATTGAGACCCAAAATCGAGGAGTCGAAACATCTTCATTTGTCATTTAATAAAGAATTTGAATTCGCACACAAACACCTATAACAATGGCTCTGATTGGCATTTGTACTTTTGTGAAATATATCAGACATCTATTTCGCGAGTCCTTTGTATCGTCGAATTGTCATTTACTTATCAACGCTAATTAAATGATCGCTTCGAAAAAAAAAGCGATCACTAAATTCGATAAACGATACAAAGAACTCGCTCTTAACGATACGTTGCGATACGTGCTACTCACCGGCAATTGGGGCGCGCTTCCTTGCGTTTCCTTCTCGCTTGTTCCCGCGACGACGACCTCTTCCTACTCTCGGCTTTCAACCCTTTCGACGGAGCGGCACGGCTCGCTGACGGCGCGCGACCGGACAATACATCGTCGGCGATGCGTCGCCGGCGGCGGTTCTGAGTGTCAGTTCCGGGAGGAGAGCGAGACAGAAGAGAGACAGAAGAGAGATGGAGAGTAGGAGAGTCAGCTGGTCGGCGAGGGGGTTAAAGCGCGCGCGTACGTAATATATGTGTTGTATACGTAATATATATCCGGTGACGACGACAAGTACAAGCGGCGGACGCCGCTATGCGCCGGCCGGCGTATATAATGCGGCTACTCCAAAACTCTAAACGTCACGAACACGGCCGAGCGATAATGACTATTGATCACGCCGCGCGCGATTTCTCTCGTCCGTACGCTGCCAGCAGCGACGAGGGAGATCGAGGTGAAACCGGCAGCGATCCGAGCGATCGCCCGGCGATTGCGATGACGATTGTCGCCGCTTCGCGGCCTCGCGCCGGGGATCTCGGCCGTACCACCGATCGCTGGCGCCTCCTCGCGGAAGCAGCGGTATCACTCCGCAACCCCCTACCCTGAGTCATATCGCGTATTGCAGAGATAGATTACCCGAGGCTTCAGGAGCTAACAGTGGCGGATTCGTCGAGTTTTGCGCCCGCAAGATTCGTTTGCTGATGCAATTCATTTTTCTATAAAGTTGTACATTGCGAGTATCCCTTATGCCCATTTCTACAAATGTAGATAAATTTCAATTTCGGTTCAACTTGAACTTCATCTTTTTCTAATTTTTGAAACTAGAAAAAGATGAAGAGATAGTTGGATCAAGATTAAAATTAAATTACATTGGTAAAACGGACATTAAGTTGTGTCTATAATGAAATTTTTAAGTATTAAAATAAGTAAGCGGCTTAAAGCTTAAGTTTTACGCTTTAAAAGCTCATTGTATATGCCGCTTTACAAATATTCAATTAACTCTTAGTACAACACAATGATCTCTCTTTACTACACATAATGGGTCATTTGTGTCCCGAATTAATTTTCATTATTTTAACACAATATAAATTAAGTGAGAGAGACATTCTTATGTATATACTTTAGATTTTATTTATAAGGTTGTATATTTTAAAAAATTGTATTTAAATAACTAATTACCTGATGTCCCTAGTTTTTTAACCGGTTAAGTGGTATTGTAGCATATATGCACAAAAAGAATCCGTGCCAAAAGTGGTATTGTAGCATATATGCACATCTTGAATAACTTCTATATTATTCAACGAATTTGCTTGAAATTTGGTATACTATTGTTTTTTGGGCTTCTGAACTCGATTTTGGCGTCAAATTTGTAAAATTTGATGGCGAACACAACATGGCGACTAATACGTTGAATGAAAATGGCGATTTTTGTATATATATTGCAATTACGTTTTACCCCCGCAGTTTATATACGAAATGAAATCAGCGACCCAAAAAACCCCCAGGGCCAAATTTTGGTATATTTTAGTTCACAATTGACGCCTACCACTTTTGGCACGGAATGTTTTAAAAAGCCTACCACTTAACCGGTTAACAGAGGTTAATTGGTATTTACTGAAGTGTCCAGAACACGAATGATTCAATTGTGTGTGCTAAGAGTTAATACCGGCTAATTTAATACAGAAAGATAGTGATTAATTACTTATTTTGAGTATTGAAAGCAACGACAGCACTTTAATCGAGTACTTCAATACTAAAATTCTTTTTGAAGATGTTTGTTATTGATTGACATATTCTAAAGATTATTTTAAAGATTTAACGTTCATTGCGCGATAAATTCTAAATTTAGAAATTATTCGAATCAATCGCATTTCGAATATATCACACAGTATCCTGATCGATGATAACCGTTCAATGAGCTCCGCGAATACGTCTCGCATCTCATCTCAACTCAGAACAAATAATTAATCACTACCTTCCAAGTATTTAAATTTCTGTAAGAGTTTCTATAAATGCCAATGAGAAATTGAACAATTAATTTTCATAAAGATTTTTTTTTCACTTAATATTTATTTTGAATCGGATACAGCAGTCACGCTGTTACGTTCGAAATGTCCGAATAATTCTACAATGTAAAATGAAGGTTCTTCATTAAATTTCAAGAAATATACAAAACATATTTCTCTAATTTTTTTTCGCATTAACAAGATAATGCGCATACTCACGGAGTAATTTATATTATAAATAATTTTATTATTTGACTACAGATAACGTAAATAGTCATTAACCAACAATGAGCATTTTGCCATCCTCGATAAATTCATAGGGTGGTACTTCGAGGTTTAGCGGAGCCGGTCCTTTTCGAATTCTACCGCTGGCGTCGTAGTGAGACCCGTGGCACGGACAATAGTAACCGCCAAAATCTCCCGCATTAGCGATGGGCACGCATCCTAAGTGCGTGCAAACGCCTATAATGACCAGCCACTTGGGATCCTTCGTGCGAGCGCTGTCCTCTTCCGGATCACGGAGATTCGCAACGTTCACTTTACCTTCTGTTGCGATTTCTGAGGCAATTCTATAAATTATTATGAATATAATACCATATTTTCATTAAACACAAACATTTTTTTCTTAAGCCTGTGTCAGACTATAAATTAGGTGTGCTTTCCAACAAGAAATGACACATGTGTTGAAACTGAGAAACAATTGGAAAACACAGGCGATATTAACAGGCAACAACAGATTTCAACCTATCAGAAATCATATATATTAGAATATTTTCTGATAGGTTGATATTTGTTATTTCCTGTTTCTGTACTTTTCAATTGTGCCCTAAACTTAACATAATGAATCATTTCGTCTCTGTTTAACATTGGCAAATAACAAGGATATAATGATTCACTGTTAGGCTGATATTACATTTGTCGTACGACAAATTTTTCAAGCCTGTTGATTGGCTATAGGATAGAGAGATCTGAGAATCTCCTGTAGCCAATTAATACGCTCAAAAACTGTATTTGTCATATGACAAATGTAATATTAATCTTACACTGTGTCATTTTTTGTTGAAAAGCACTCTGGGATTGAGATTGGATTGGAATTTAAGCAATCAGAATAAAGAAAACCAATATCAAGTTTAATCAAATGTGCTTCAATTGATCAAATCCAATCTCAATCTTAATTCTATAGTTCTGTATCTATAGTTTGATACAGGCTTTACGCAATAAATTATCAACTGATATCCTGAATTACCTGTGTCGTACAAACAGAGGCTTTCCACGCCATTTGAAGATAGCGCTCTTGCCCTCGGGAATACTGCCGAGATTAATCTCGATTTTCGACATGGCAAGTACGTCAGCCGTTGGGCTCATCATTCCAACGAGGTTGTGTACTACTACTTTCGCACTATAAACACCTGCCACAGAACCACCTAGATGCACAAAATCAAAGATGTTTTAGATTGCGGTTCATATTTATAAATAAAAAGTCCTTCAATGCTCGATTAATCATATTTGTAATGTATCAAACATTTTCTTTGTACTTGCCAGCTGCGATAAGATAGGCGATACCCTTTCGGGATGGCGCACTGTCCTGTGATTTTGCATGTGGATCTTGTACTTCAGGTTGACGATAATCGTTGAAATCTGGCCACTGAATGTCGGTGTGTGCCAAACGTCGCTGATGTATCTGCGTGCTGACTGCAACAACACAAATCCAGATTATAGGCCTGTTGTTTTTAGCTAAACTTTCTGTATGTATACATATTGTTTATTTTTTCTTTTTTTCTTTAATGTGGAAAGAAAAAGAAGAAAGATGAACTGCAAGATGAATGTACAAGAAGTTCAGTTGATGCCTATTTCTATCAACGTAGAGTAACTTCAATCTCGGTTCAACTTATACTTTATCGTTTTCTAATTTTTAGGAATAGAAAAAGATAGAGTTTGTTTAACCAAGATTAAAATTAAATAGAAACGTTCTTCGTTAATAGAAACAGGCATGAAAAGAACAGACTTTGGGTATTCATAGTTCGTTCTTACTTTGGTATTCATAGTTCGTTCTTACTTTAAGATTAACTTAAGTAACATCTTGAGATGTTAATACAGCCTTTTGATTGACTTATGAGATCTTAAGATTGTACTTAAGATAGTCTTAAATATAAGAATCCATTATGAGTACCAGCTTTTGACTATGTTTTGATATACACTAATACCGAAAATCTATAATACCTACACATAAACTATAGATTCCAATATTGACAACATATATTTTTGCATGGTTTTTATTATTTCAGGCTTGAACAAAAAGTTCGAATAGTGGGGAAACCTATCAAGATCTTCTGTAGATTTTCATCTATAAATTTATATTTATAGATGACATGCATGTCAAAAGATATCTTAAAGATGTTTTCTAGACAATGCATGTTGTCTGGATTTACAAGCCTAAGGCCTAATTGCACCAACATTATTTTAGTTTTAAGTGAGACCTAAATATGTGTGTGTTTATTTAGAAAGAAAGATAAAGACAAATACAAGTCTCGTTTAAGTCTCGTTTAAATAACATTGGTGTAATGGGGCCTAAGCTCAACTGATAGCGCAGCGATCTGCGAAGTGTGCGAATCGATTATATAATCGCGAATAGCGCGAATATCGGTGCGATTTGTCAGAAAAAAACACGAATTCACGGAATGCTCGTAGAACAGGCTGATAATGATGCGAACGCACCTGCGACTCCCGAGCTTATGCACGTAGGTCCGGTAAGAAAATCCTGATAGGTAGTCTGTTGGAGTCTCCGTCTGAAGGGTACGGGAACGGTAATCTTTGGTTTGGTAACTTTACCGGTCGCGGCCACAGGCATCCCTCCATTCGAGACGACAGTCGCCGTCGCCCGCAGGAACGGCGAGAGAGTTGTCGATTTCGCGATCACGTTCATATTTTACGCTAAATACGTCCGTGACAACGAAAGGAACGACACATCTGAGAGGCAACAGGAAACACTACCGCACTGTGCCGCGGCAGGTCGCTGCGATCGGTGTGAAGTTGGCACACGAGCGCGATCATCTGACGATGAACGCGGTAATTTTGAAATTGAATCGTTTAATTCTTTTTCTTTTTTTTCTCATCTTCAAAAGGGCATAGCCAGAGATTTGCATAATAGATTTGCATAATAGATTTGCATACTAAATTTGGATCTAGTATGAAAAAACAAACAATATGGCATACTTTTACTTCTTTTTTTGACATTCTTTTTTTCTTTTATAGCATCTTAGGCTACCTAGAATGAAGATAACCCTCATCCTATCTCTTTTCTGTCAATATTCCGTTCCGTTGTTTCTTTCTCCATGGGAAGGCAGCCTTATCCCGGATTTACAAGAGTTCTAAGTCTAAAGTTTTGTGTCCACGATACTAGAACTCGATCCGCGTTCTCGGATCGAAAAATGTGTAGCCAATCAACTTGCCGGTTTTTTGTAAAAACTGTAAGCTGATTGGCTACACATTTCACGATCCGAGTACTCGGATAGAGAAGACACAAGGCTTTAGTCGATTATTCTCCTCGAATTCGACTGTAATTGGTCAAATTCTTACGGCTTATGGCTTAAAACACCTATAGATCCGGACTTAAGGCCATGGCACACATGTTTTTATAACAGAAACTATAAGACGTACCGTAAGAATCAGCCAATTAAAATTAAAAGTTCAAAAGAATTCTCTACTGTGATTGGCTGATTCTTACGGTACGTCTTATGGTTACTGTTAC